GCCAAAATTCCCCCCCCCCCCCCCCCACCTGTCTTTCACGCTGGGCTCTGACCTTCGTTCTCAGAAATTCCCCCTCTTCTGTCTCGTGGGGCTGCCCTTCCAGCTCAGAATTCGTTCTCAGAAATTCCCCCTCTTCTGTCTCGTGGGGCTGCCCTTCCAGCTCAGAAACCATGGCTGGGGGCCCTTGCTGAACTTGTCCCCCTCTACACCTCTCCATATCCTTAAAGAGACATTTCTTGCCCCCTCTCCCCATGTGAGCACCCCCATCACTGGATTTAATCCCCTCTTCCCTCTGCCCAGGAGAGTCCCTCATCCAATTATCTGGCCCCCTTTTGAAGTTTTCCACCCCTTGTCTGTTGTCTAATCCCCCCCATCACAGATGGAAAAGACTGTAGTTGCTACTCATGCAGGAATGGCTTCTTTGCACACTGACTGTGTCCAGTGCAGATAGGGAAATAAGTAAGTTTGCAGGTAGGGAGAAGGTTGGGGGAGAGGATTTCTCAGCAGCCCTTCTTGCTTCTTGATCATTCAATTCAAAGTGTGGGTTGGGAGATACACATATCCTTGAAATTCATTTGTCTTTCACAGGGGTGGGATGGAAGCGTTATAATGAAATTGGACATTGTGAGGTGCTTTGGTGTCTCAGTAAAAACAAAAACAAAAAAAACCTGTAACCTTTGAGGAAATACTCAGTGTCCAGGTAGACTCCATCTATAGTTGCCCTGCTGTTTCCAGGAGCTTTGAATTCTGAGTGAGAACCATGATGTAAATTTTGCCCCAGAAAGAGAACAGTAATTGGTGGATTTAACTTAGCAGTTACATTAACAGGGTCTGCAGACTTCACAGTATCCAAACAGCTGTTTTAGTGACTGTTTAGCTTCTTCCTAGTCTCTGATAGCTTACTTTAAAGAAGCATTTTGTTCAATACTATAATAGATCCCAAAGCTATTAGAAGCCACCTGTGGAGACAGGCATATGGAAATACTTAGAAGGGGAGCCAGACAAGCCTGAGAATTAAATTTTAAGGAAAAGCACTGACAAGCATGTTATATCACTGGATTGTCCCAAAGCACCCTCCCTTGCATTTGGAATAGATAAGAGATACTTTGAAACTATCAGAGGTGGCCTCGATGGCTACATCTACACTGCAAGGTTTTTGCGCAAGAAGTCTTTTGTGGAAGAGTTCTTGTGCAAAAACGTCTTGCGCAAAAACACGTCCACACCTCAAAGCGCAGCGCAAAAGTGATGTACACTGCATGGACGCTTTTGCGCAAGAAAGCTCTGATTGCTTTTTCCCATGGGGTTTCTTGTGCAAGAAACCCTTCTGGAGTGTCCACACTTGCCTTTTCGCGCAATAGCTGTAGCTGTATGCCTTGTAGAAGGAGGTTTACCTATGCCGGAAAAAGCCCTCTGTTTTGCCGTTTTACTGCTGATTTACTTGCGCAAAAGCGCATTTGAGATGTGGACGCTCCACAGGTTTTTGCGCAAAAACTTTGCAGTGTAGACGTAGGGGATGTCTAGACTGTGTCTCTCTGTCGGCAGAGGAATGCAGATTAGGCAGGTCGACATTGCAAATGAGGCAGGGATTCAAATATCCCGTGCCTAATTTGCATAAAAATGGTCACCACGTTTTGCCGATTCAGCACTTTGTCGGCAAAAAGCAGCAGTCTAGAGGGGGATCTGTCAAGAAAGAAAGCCTTTTTTGACAGATCCCTATGCTTCCTGCAAGGAGGTTTACAGGATCTGTAGAAAAAGGCTTTCTTTCTCGACAAATCCCCCTCTAGACTGCTGCTTTTTGCCGACAAAGTGCTGAGTCGGCAAAACGTGGCGGCCATTTTTATGCAAATTAGGCACGGGATATTTAAATCCCTGCCTCATTTGCAGTGTCGACCTGCCTAATCTGCATCCCTCTGCTGACACAGGGATGCAGTCTAGACATACCCGTAGCCTATGAGTACAAGTCCTTATGCTGTCTATTTTGGCATTACAGCTGGTTTGTTGAAAAATCTCATTCTAATGTCCTGGTTGCTGTCTCTTTAACAGGATTTTTCTCCCAGCTCCAAGAAACATAGAACTGTGGAAGATTTCAACAAGTTTTGTACCTTTGTCTTGGCATATGCTGGCTACATCCCCTATCCACAAGAGGTAATCGTGCAGCAATTCAGTCCTTACTTTATTTCAGGTCCACCTTGCTCTAGCTAGTGCTGTTGAGAGGTTAATGTTACCAGGGTGACAAGCATGGTATAAATACCTCGACAGCTAAAGGGGATGTGTTTGAGGGGTAGAGTCCTGTAAACAATCCTGATGGGACAAAAATGAGGCCACTGGCCTGTGATATTTCAAACCAAAGCATGGAACTTGGCATGGAACTGGATATTGTCAGCCTCCCAGCCAAGGAGCCAGTGTCCCTACACTTATAAAGTTAAATGTAATCCTCAGGCTCCTGGAATATGATGTGAGCTCTTCTTTATTCAAAAGTGAGGCAGTCCAAACCTCTGTCTTGCTTGAGGGGACAGACAGAAGTATAAAGGTCAGTAAGTACCATTGCCATTGAAATGATTGTATTGGTGAATGATTTCTGTGCAGTGTGAAATTCTACATTAGAGGTCTTCATGCCAGAGTCCTCCCTCCTTGCATCCTAAGCCTAGGTAGCCACAAACTTCAGATTGCTGCACTGCCTTTGAAATGAGCCAGTTGTTTTCCTGGCCTGGAATTCCCAACAGAGGCTTAGGATACAAAGCCCATGGAAGGACATGGGGTAGCACAGCACGTTCCTGAAAACTATGGAATAGGCAGCCGTACCTGACCGGGGCCACAGGTAAGGATGAGAATGGGTCAATAACTTAGGCTAGTGACTGAGTGACAGTTGAGTAAGTGGAGATTCTCTGATTTGTCGTGAGCCTATTCTGACAGGTGTAGATCCTTCCCCACCCTCCCTCACTTCAAAAAGGGGAGTGTAAGAAGTGGTTATTTGAGGTTTCCTATCAACTCTACAATGATACTCACATCTGGTCTCTTAATATTTGCTAGGAGACCCCCTTGAGGAGCAGCCCCAGCCCCCCCAATAGTACTGGAGGTACCATCGACAGTGATAGCTGGGACCCCCGATTCTGTGACCTCCATTCTGCTGTCTCCCTGCCAGTCAAGAGCAGAAAGAGCTTTAGTCAGCTCAAGCGAGCAAAACCATACGTTTCCCTATTCCAACGGGCAAAACCTAGCAACTTCCTGCCAGAGCGAAAGCAAACTGATAAGATCAGAAAGAAGAAAAAGCTGAAGAGAAGAGAAACCGAAGTGCCTGTGGAAGAAGAATATGGGGGGGAACTGCTGAAGCTGGAGACGGAGGATTCTTATGTTGAGACCCCCGTGAGTCCCTCATCTGAGGGCGATCCTCAGTCTGTGACCGACCATTGCTCAGCATGGGACTCTGACACTCCCTCCAGTGTCTCATACCCTCCTGAGACTTCTGAGCAGGGCATGGAAATGCAGAGCGTGGGCAAACGCACGGTCATACGGCAGGGCAAGCAGGTTGTGTTTCGGGATGAGGATGGCACTGGTGATGATGAGGACATTATGGTGGATTCAGGTAAATGGCCCTGCAAATGAGAGATTTGTTCAGATTGGTATCATAGGTGGCTGTCATCTGTCTATCCAGTATGTCATTAGCAATCCACTCCTTTATAAAATGGGATAGTGCAGATCTGTATCCTGTACGGGTTGAGTGAAATTCACTGGGGTTTGCAAAGCACAGCCAGCTCTTTGGGTAGAAACGGATAGAGAAGACTAAGCACCTGAATTAAGTTGTCCAGATTCTGAGGTGAGGGTTTCTGTCCCTAGGCTGCGCTTTCTGAGAGGCCTAATGTAAAATGGGACAGAAGATTGGAAGCTAATATTGGGAGTAGAACCCTTTTGGTTCCATATTTACCTTTTGGGATTGCTGAGATTCTGTCTTGGAGCAAGGTCCAGGGGGCAGTACTACAGCTTCCAGCATGCCCTGGAAAGATGTTCACCAGCCTGCTCGATTTGGGTCCCAGCACTGGACCCTGAGCTCTCTTTTCCTGACTCTGAGCGGAGTTCAGGCACTGTTTCTGCACACGCTTTCAGGGTGCACGTTTACTTTGTAGTGCCCTTTTCTGAAAGCCTAGGCCTTGAAACGAGGTCTGTATTCCCTGAAACTCCCCAGTTGCTCTAACCATGTGGGCATTCTGGCTTCCAGTTCACTGCCTCAGGGACACGTGAGCATTGAAGCAAATGAACACACACATTTTCCAGCAGGTTTCTAACAATATTACTCTTTACTTAGACAGCACAAGAAACACCGATCTAGGCAAAATAAAAACCGCTACACACCAGTCCCTGCTTCACTTTTTTCACCACTTTTGAGTGTTCTTTGGGATTTGGATCAGCATCCTTTCAGGGTGTCCAAGATACTCCTCATGCAGCTCCTGGCTTCTTCATAATATGGAGTATCTTTCTCTCCTGCAGGCAGCTCCCTCCAGCCTTAGCTGGTACTAATTTCCAAAAGATCCTTCTACTACAAAAGCCATGCCCCTTTGTTGCTGCCTCGTGCCCCAGGTTTCCTTTGTCTCGCTGGCCAGCCCAGTCTGTTTTGAAGGGCTCTAACCACACCTCATCTCTTTGTTCCCTCCATTGGGGAAATTCCGTTCCTTCAAACTAATCTTCTGCAGAGAAGATGGAGGAAAAATGATGCAGTTACTCCTTTGATCTGTTCAGGGGTTGGCAGGCTTTATTGACTGACCTGTTTATAGACCAACATGCAGGGTCTACTCCCATCTCATTTGCATAAGGAATATAAGGCAAGAACATGATACAGTGTATTATACAAGCATCAATGTACCGAGTTCATAATCACAAACAGAACTTCTAGGCTACATATTGATAGATTCCCCAAATCATTACAGAGCTGGTAGGGACTGCCTTCTTCTATCTAAACCAAGGAGGAAATTCAGCACCAAAAGGGAGAGGATGGCATGCAGCAGAAGGAAAGAAGTCATAGTTTTAATTCATTGTTTTTTCCTTCCAGATGATGATTCCTGGGATCTTGTCACCTGTTTCTGCATGAAACCTTTTGCTGGACGGCCAATGATTGAATGCAATGAGTGTCACACCTGGATCCACCTCTCCTGTGCCAAAATCCGCAAATCAAATGTGCCAGAGGTGTATGTATGCCAGAAGTGCCGGGACTCCAAGTTTGATATTCGCCGCTCAAACCGCTCCCGGACAGGTTCGCGCAGGCGCTTTCTGGACTAGCGGAGGAACTACAGAGATGGCTTACTGCTCGGGCAGATGAGCCATGCAAAACTCAGAACTCCAGCCAGGGGGGCAAAGAGAGCTCCTCTGAACTGCAGTTGGCTCAGGCAAAAGTGACAGTGTGAACAGACATGAGGTGTTCAATGTCTGAGTGCCAGGGCTGGGAGAGGCCTGCTGGCCAAAACTTCTGCTAGAGGCTGATTATCTATAGCAGGGACGTACTAAATACCCCCGGTTCAGTGGGGTTTTGTCAAGTTCAGACTGTGAATGGGATGATCATTTGAGAATACTGCCTTTGCCGCCTATCAATGTTCATCCTACTGGGAAAGTGCTAAGCAAGTGCAAGGCTTCTAGGTGCTGAAGAAAATAATCATCCTCCGAAGCAGGAGTAGGAGGACGGAAATCTCTGGAAAGTCTGAAAGTAAACAGCCATACATTCTAGTTTCACTGTAATACTAGACTTGCCCATTGGTCCAAAAGAATTTCTGAAGGCTCCTTCAGAATGAGCTTGAATGCACACTGAACTCATGTGACCTGCCTCCTCTTCAGCTGGGTAGCGGGAGAGTATCCACTCACTTCTATGATTTGGCTTTGTTTCTGGTAAAAACAGTAATTTCCCACAGCTCTCTGGATTGTTGGCTTTAAAGGGGAGACGCAGGGTTTTCTTTGTTTCCTGGGGAGGGAAGGAGGGCTGTGCTGGAAGTAGACATGTCAATTTTCTTCCTTAATTGAGCTGAGTCCTCTTAAAATCATTGTCATGATTGTGTTTTGCAAGAGCAGCTCAAACATAAGGTTGTTCTGTGCTTCCATCCACTCTGTTCCACGGCCCCGTGTGGTGGCTCATCTCAGACAGAAAAGCATTGTTCTGAGACACCAATTCCCTTCCCTCCTCCAGCCTGGAAGTCGAGCTTGGCTACACAGTGGGCCTTGAAAAATTAAAACCTGGGAATTCAGAATGGCCTGGTTTGGATTTGGGCGGTTCCCATGTGAGCACTAGGGCTGGAATTACCTGCATTTTTAATACTGTTTCCTGAGCTGGATTTGTAAATGGGAAGACTAGAAAATCTTTCAACAGGTTTGTATGCCCCTCTACAGATAGGAGCAAATGCATGCAGTATGGCATCCAGCCCAACCCTGTAGAGGTGGCCTGTGCACCTGGCAAGGTGGGCTGCAGTTGAGAGAACACTCCAGAGCTGCAGAGGATAAGGGAATGCATCAGCACCAGAAAACGTTCCTATCTCGTGACTACCCTTTTAGGTAGCAGTGAGGGGACAGTGGACGCAGGGCTAGAGAATGTTTCAGGGAAACGAGACTAGTATATGAGGCCACTGAGGTGTAGGCGCTTTCCTTCTAATGACCAAACTGAAAATATATTGTATTTATTGCACAAACTGGATATTTGTTCTTGAGAGAATTCTCCTAAGTTGTATGATGCTTAATGAACAATGGATGTTCTGTCCTGTCAGCCTATTAGATGATCTGGAGTCACTAGTTGGCATTTTTTTATATCTGAAAGAAGACAGAACTGCCAGGAATCAATGCAGCAGATGATCTGTATCAGACTGTCGCCTTATTGAATACTGATTTATCAGGAAATACATCCTGGCAGTGTCAGGGACCCTCCTTGGGACACTTAACACGAGGCTACACAGATCACTAGAACAGCCTGTATATCACTGCCCTGCAATGCCCAGGGGCTTGATGAGATGGGACCATTACTATAGAACGGCACTGTTTTATTTCACTGTCCATTCTAAAACTTGGTGCAGTTTGAAAAGCCCATCAAGTGAATTTGATTTCTAGATGCAGCAATTGAAATCTAATTTTATAAACAGCTCCACTTAAATCTAAGAGAGTGATGACACACTACATACCAGAAACGAAATGGACCCAGCAGTTTGCCCAAGATTTGCCTGGTAGGGCTGTCTTCTGCCACCAGATAAATAACCAAAGTTCCCAAGTGTTGCAGATTTCACGCTGCAAGGTAGGCGGCTTTGGAAGAAATCTGCTCAGTCGTGTAAGGGTTTAGCCTGATGTCGAGGTGTCTGCAGTACACCTGGATCGCTGCAGGCTGAAAAGCAAGCTGCTGCCTGAGCTGC